CTTCCTCCAATGTCAGGCAGAAAGCCCTTTGAGAGCTCTGAAGCCAAAAAGGCAGGGAGGGCAGGAAATTTGAATTTTCAGCCCTTTCTCCCTGCCTTTTTGCCTTCACAGGTCTCAAATGGCTTCCTCTGATGTCGGGGGGGGGGAGCCCTTTGAGACCTCCGAAGGTGCCCATTGCAGCGGCGGGGACCCTCAGGGAGGTCTTCCAGGGCTTGCCCGCCACCATAGGAGACCTCACTGGGGGTCCCTGCCGCCACGAGTTCTCAAAGGGCTTCCTCCAATGTCAGGCAGAAAGCCCTTTGAGAGCTCTGAAGCCAAAAAGGCAGGGAGGGCAGGAAATTTGAATTTTCAGCCCTTTCTCCCTGCCTTTTTGCCTTCACAGGTCTCAAATGGCTTCCTCTGATGTCGGGGGGGGGGAGCCCTTTGAGACCTCCGAAGGGGCCCATTGCAGCGGCGGGGACCCTCAGGGAGGTCTTCCAGGGCTTGCCCGCCACCATAGGAGACCTCACTGGGGGTCCCTGCCAGCTTCCCCCCCCCCATGGGAGGAAGCCATTTGAGACCTCCGAAGCCAAAAAGGCAGGGAGAAAGGGCGGGAAGTTCGAATTTCCAGCTCTTTCCCCTTGCCTTTTTGCCTTTTGAAATGCTGGAATGGATTAATTCCGTTCCCACGCATTTCAATGGGAAATGGTACTTCAACTTACGAACTTTTCGACTTACAACCATCCTTCCAAAACGGATTAAGTTTAAGTTCATAAGTCGAGGAAAGGCTTTCCCACTAGCTCTGGGAAAGCCTTTACTCAGAAGACAGGATAAGCAAAGAGCCTTGCCTTGCACACACTAAATATCAACAGCTATCATGACCATCATTATTATTGCCAGTTCTTGACTAAGGAAGCAGGTGATTCCACGCATAAAGGGAGGACAGGTTCCCGTGACTCCAAATGTTTTAGAAAAAGAGGGGAAGGCTTTCCTAGCAAACTGGAAAATGGCAGGGCAGGGAAAGAGAAGAGTAGTCAAGGCGACCGATTTCAGGCGGTTACGCCTTCCTCACGCCCGGCGGCACCTGCCCCAAATCCCTGCCGTGCCCACTCCCTCGAGGGGCAAAAACCCTTCCCTTC